AAAAAAGGGAAATACATCCACCATCCCCCTTGTGATATTTTATTATAAATAGACAACTGAGGATAACATAATTGAAACACTTTTGATTCCTTGGTTGACCAGGTTATGACACAAATTGGTCACGAAAGAAAGAAAAAGGTTAGTAGACATAATTTTAGCTTTCTGAGCTATTTCGTGAAATAAACGTGTAAAATTAGTGCCTTGTACTGCACTTCCTCTTGACTCGATACTGAAAGAGCAACAAAAGAGCAAGGTTAAAAACTCACACTCACAGAAACGTCTGCAACCCTTAAACTACTGGTAAAATGGGGAAATAAATGAAGTTAAAATAATTAATACACTTTATGAATCATTTTAAGCACATTTAGTTACTTTAACACAACAGTTTCATGTTAGTGTAGGAAATGAAACAATTGTGCTAAAGTAATTAAATATGCTTAAGTAGTCGCAAAAGATGCATGAATTTTTATTTTCATCCTACTTATTTTAGTGATTTAATCACATTTTGGAAATTTTTATTTAATTGACACTAATCTGTTCATAAAAAAATACTGTTTAGGAAGTTTTCTCACAAAAATGTATTATTTCGATTAGAAAAACCCACCGGAGGCACTTTTTTAATAGTTGTCAAATCTTCGTTGAATTTAATCATCCAACTTTTAATTTAAAATCATTTAGGTTTCTGGTGCCATAAATATGAGGTGGCATAAAGCCAGTTTTCAAACGCTCACTATGCCTACATCATGCCACCTGGGAGCTGGGGGGGTGGGTTGGTGTATGGGGGACGACATCACCATGCATAGTGAGAACCATGCTTATAAAAATCTTACCACTCACTATAGGAGAACTACACAATAGAATGCATTTCAGGGTCACCAAATGATACTATCAGACCCTTTCTGCATGCCAGTCGGTTCATCAGGGTGATAATTTCTGCAAAGTCACTCTTCTGTTGCACCATTACAAAAAAGAACACTCCGTCTGCTAAATGCAACTGGAACTTTAACCTAAAAATACGTGGCTTGGTCACAGCTTTTTAGTATTAATAAATAGGTTATGGTGGCGGAAGGTGCAAATGCATAACACAGAAGTTCTGCAAGAACAAAAAAGGCTAACAACCCCAAAAATAGACTAACACTCAAAACACGTGCAAAGGAAATAAACATTGCGGCTGACAAATACCAAGGAAAATAGAGAGCAGCGACGTGCAAATGTCCTGCAAACACCTAAATATGCAGCTCACACAAAACACATTCCAAAGACATAAATGATGCTAACACACAAAAACACGTGCAAAGAAAAACAGTTGCAAATAAGTTGTAAGCTATCTCAGGTTAGCGGAAGTGCTCCAGACCACTGGGGGAGTCCTTCAATCCTTAGCAAATATATAAAGAGACGTCCCACCCACAAGACATCTGAAGGGATTAAAGGTGAAATATGTTTTATTTTCAGTCTATTCTTTAAAAACTGAATTTTATGTCTTTACTAAGGGTGAAATGGTCCCATTTGAGTTGATGACTGGTCACTTGAAGTACGTGAAAACTCCACCGTAGTTGGAGCAACGCTGTTAGTATAATTTTTCTTTTGCATGAATTTTAATAGTTTGTGTGTCTGTCGGATTTTTGTTGTTTGCACCTCTACGCAACTATAAGGTGAGGTTGAAAAACAACCAAAGGATAAATACGTAAAAAGCTTCAATGCTTGCTGTGGTTGTGGCATGCTGTGTTTGCACTCAGGTTTAAACAGGATGATTTAAAACATGTTGCCTTCTATTACAATCTCTGTCCACAAACTAAACCTTATAGAGCTGTGAGCTGAGATACAGAGAAGATAAGACAGGACTCAACTCTCGCTTTTATAAAGGTTAACAGTAACAGGAGGGGTAACGATACTAAGAGGGTGCTGTTTTTTTCTCACTATACTCAAATTGCGGCTTGAATTTTGTTTTTTTTTTATGTTTGTACACATCTTGTCGCACTATTAATAAGGGTTGTGCATTATAGATAAATGAAAATAAGGGTTCTATGTGTGTTTTGTCTTCCCCAGTTTGATTAAATCATCCCCCCACCCTCCTTAGGGGGTCATATTGAGGCGGTAGTGCCTTGATCACATGGCAGACCAATACAACCGTCCCAGCACAAGGTGCGAACAGGTGAAGCTCTTTTCTAAATGAATTTGTCACTAATCTAAGTCTCAATATTTAACCATTTTTGAACCTAAACATGAGATAAAGAGTTTGGGGACTCACTAGATGTGCTGGATGTACTTCCTGTCTTCCAGCTGCTTCTTTTGATTGGATGAACTGCAGGTGGGGGCGGGGCGCTCACTCTGGGTGTCGGCTCATACACGTCGCACTCTATCGTCATGTTAGACTGCCAGTACAGATTCCTCTGCAGTGGAGCCGTTATTTCATATTCTGGCAGAGAAGAGTCATACCACATCAGCAATCAGACTATGAGATAAACAGGATGTTGTCTGCGACACATAAGTAGATCATTTTATCGGCAGGGTGTAGGAATTCGACACGTTGCATCATCATACCTCTTTCTCCTACCGACTTTTCCCTCTCTTTGTGTCTTCTCGTAATGCTTTCTCGTAATTTCCTCAGATTATCCTTCAATGACAAATAAAACAAGGGGTTATTTGTTAGAAACTATTTCTTTGCTATCAGACTTGGATTTTTGTGGCTGATCCTTTACCTGCTGATAGCGCAGAGAGTTGGCCCTGCGCTCGTGGTCCAACTGCCAAGCTTTGAACTCCTGGACGGCCTCATCCACCGTTATCTCCCCGACTTTGACCCTCTCCTGTAGGGATATGAGCTGCCTCTGCCCAGGGGTCTTCATTCCACCATAGGGATCATATGTAGATGATGGAGCTTCGCTCACGGGTCGAGCTAATTAAAAACAGAACAGGGTGGAGGAATAAGTTAATCTCCTCCATGTTTGAATTGTCAGTTTGTCACAGGGCAACACAGAAACATACGTGAAAGGCTATAACCACATGAAAACATTCATACTTGAAGGCACTTTGGCAGGGAAAATTCATGCATGAACAAGGAAGACACGTAAACTCCATGTAGAGTTTTCATTTAGCTTTTTCTTGGTGAAAAATAAACAATCAATTCAGAGATTGACCTGCTGCTGCATTTCAGAGATCTGGATTAATGGTTGCATCAATTACAATAGTGTTGCGCCGATGCCATTTTTTGGCCCCAATACCAATACGCGATACCTGGCTGTGCAGTATCGGCCGATACCGATACGATAATAATGTACAATAATTGCCATCATGGCTTTGTCAAGCTGCTGCATACCTTTGTGAAGAAGGAAAAAATCTGATACAAAGGGAATCCAGTAGAACTTTTTATTGCCTACCTGGAAGGGGGGACAATAGTTGAATAAACTTTTGGCTCTCAAAATGGTATCGGTGCCCTATTTGTTGGTACTCGCCAGTACCGATACCACCATTTTAGGGCAGTATCGGGGCCCCGTCCGATACTGGTATTGGTATCGGTGCAACACTAATTACAAAATTGATCATGACACTACCACTACCATTTCTCTTTGCTTTGGTCAACTGAGATTGAGACGTTCTGGGTTCTGTTCTGACATACTGGTTGAAAGTCAAATATGTTCTTGAGGTAATTTGAGTTGAGGTTTGCAATTCTTTTAAGACATGACTTGGGCCTTTAAGTCCTAATGGAGCTTATAGTTAGAGTGGCTCAGGTTATCCAGAGCTATCTCTATAGTAATGCTGCTATAGTCTTAGACTGCTGGAGGACATTGGGACCACTTTACATCTTTCTGCTTCATTCTTAGCCTAGTCAACTAGCCCCAAACGCCAGCGGCCAAAATCTTTTTTGCCTGCGAGTTGGTCTAGCCTGGATAAATACCCCAGACCCTAGAACTGGCGGGCCAATCACAACGCAGAGATGTGTTTTGAATTTCTGGATGCAAGCGGGCAGTTTTGAGGGCTGCGCAATGCTGGAGAAAGCACAACAAAGAAGATGGCAACAATTATTGAACAGTTCTCATTTGACTCAACTTTTGAATCAGTTTTGAAAGGATTAGACATGGGGATTTTGATGAAGCGTGAGCAGGAAGAGGCTCTACACTCATTCATTTTTAACAAGGACGTATTCACAGTTTTACCGACAGGCTGTTTGTTTACACTCCCCCACCAGCTTTCTGTCACGCTTACTACGTCACAGTCAGTTGCGCTCATTGGTCAGAGCGTTGGCCAATAGGCACAGACATGGTTTGAAAAACAAGAGGTTGTTCTTTTCAACAATCTTCCGATGTGTCATTCATCGGGGCCAGACTAAATTACACATTTAATCTCACATTTAGTCGGGTTTATCAGGCTACTTCATTCGCAGCATTCCTTATTTCAATCTCTAACTTTATGCTCTCTCTGCATTTTCTCATCATATTAGCTTCGTCTGGTCCGTTCCAGTTTGCTTGAGTCTCCATCCTGGAGAGAAATATCAGCTGTGCTACTGCCTTCAAAACCTTCAGTTATAGATGATAGATTAGGGCCTGTTTTTTTACTGCTTAGTCCTGTTTCTCTCTTGGAGATAGCTATGGGCTCAGCTTTCATTGTAACTAACTGCTTGTGCTTTCTTTTCCCACTCCACTGTTGCTGCATGAATTACTAGCTTTAGGGATTGCTGAGTTAACAACACTGTGCAAGCGAGTATCTACAGTACTATCGCCACATGCTCGTCCAGGAGGGCCGAATCGTACAAAGTCAATGACTGAATGCAATCAGCTAGTTTCCCTTAGATTTATCGATCTGGCTGTATGATCTGATTGAATTGTATTTTTAAAATGACTTGAGATAGAAATAAACCGAATTGAAATGAATTATGTTCTGCATTCTGTTTTCATGGATATTTGCTGGAATCCCGGAGTCTTAGAAAAGGATTTTGTTACATGCTTTCATCTGTTGTCAGTGACTTGCTTTCGGTTTTTAAGCCTACTTCGTGTTGTCAGACAGGTTCTATTTAGTTGATTTCGGGCTTAGCAAGCAAAACCAAAATGAAATACTTAATATTTCATGAAGTATCTGTGATTAGATACTTCATGAAGTATTAAGAGGCAATTATATTTCTATTTTTGTCTAATAAATTGTCAATGGCTTAGAATTTTTTAAAGTAAGCTAACGTGGAACGGACTTATTCTAAAAAAGTTAATAAAAAACATGATCTGGATGACTGAGAGTCTTCACAAGCATGTAGAACAGAGTCAAAAATCTGTTATCCCATTTTCCATAGTCTCTTTGGTAATAATAATAATTTGATTAATTGTAATTCAATTAATACTAATGAAACCCCATAGCTGTGAATCAATTAAGCTAAGATTCAAAGTTTAAAATGAAAGGAGACAGGATGCAGGACCAGCAGGTGTAGATCATCCTCTATCTCTTTGGCAAAGTTTGGCCAAAATTAAAAGTTCAATGGTTTTATTTTTAGGTGAAATTGAATTACAGACTTGCCAACAACCACAGAGCTGGTTGTGGGCTCAGAGTGATGGTTTCTGGGGTTGGGGTACAAGCAGAAACACAACAAAAGGTTGAGAGATGTTTGGTTGATAAGGCAGAATAAGTTGTGTTTGTGTCTGAAGCAAAGAGAAGAACTAAGCAGGGCAGTGCTTCATTAATTATCATTAATTGTCTGTTAAATTCTACTAGGATGTATGACTTTTGCCCCTGAATAAAGTTGAATATAACAAATATATTGTGGTATTTTTATTAATTCTGCTAAAAAGCATGACATAGTAACACTGCTTTATAAATATTATAGAGATCAAATGCATTTTTTATATTGTAAACACAGTTGGAAAGGACTGAATAAATACAGTTCCTTCAAATATAGACGTTTATTAGTCTTTTTTGTGGAAATATCATGGATTACGTGCTGTAATTTTTAGGCCAACAATACAATAACAGCGATATGATTATTATTTCTATGCTGCAGCAGCATCTTATGACTGTTTCTCAAAGGAAAGTTGAGCCAAACAACAATGAAAAAAACACCAAACCTATAAAAGCTCGATGTAGAGGCCTCAGTGTTTTAATATTAATGCTCAAGAAAGCTGACCAAACAGAGTAACAAAATGAAGAAACAAAAAATAGCCTACAAAACTGAAAATGACAGCTATTAAATGCTGAAATCAGCAGAGCAATGATCCCAAGCACAGCGGAAAAACCTATGATTTATGGGGAGTGGTGGCCTAGCGGTAAGAGCTCCGACTCTGATGTTCTCTGGGTCTCAGAGCAAGACCCTTAACCCCTGATTGCTCCCCGGGCGCCCCACGATGGCAGCCCACTGTTCCCCAAGGGGATGGGTTAAATGCAGAGGTCAATTTTTCCAATGTGAGATCAATAAATGTACTAAAAGGCCAAAAGAGAATAAAATTAAAGTTTGGCAGTAAAAGTCCAGATCCTAAACCGATTTAATCGTAATTATTAAATACATCAACAAATACCTGGAAACCTAAGTTTAGCGAGTTAAAAAATGAGGTTCAATTCAGTTCAATTCAGTTTATTTCTATAGCTGAAGAGAGCACATCCACTCAGTCACGGTCAGAGAAACAGGACTACACTGGTGGGTTAGAGTATTTAAATTATTTTATCAACACTTTTTTTGCAAGGGTATTAACTTTAGTTAAATTAGCTCCGTCTTTATCAAATATTTGTGTTTTTCTCGTGTTTTCCACAAAGATTCAGCAAACTTTCTAGACTCATGGGTACATTTTTTTTCTCAAATCTAAAAATCAAGCAGGCAACAGATAAGAGCGCATTTTGAATCACAGAGGATCAATCAGGACCTTGATTTGAATAAAACAGCTCAGTAAAGTGATTAGAGAAGATTATTACAGCAAGATGCTCTCTAAAACGCAAAGGTTTCAAAGTTTAATTATTTTTTACCTGCAGGATATTCACTCCCCATGGTATTTACCTGGGATGTCCTTCGATCTGAAAATACTGTAAGGAAGATACAGTACATTAAAGTTAGGTAGTAGTTTTTTTAGAGCAACAAACTGCTTTAAAATATTGAACAAAGAAAACCTTAAAACACAGACCTTTGGAGATGTAGGTGGCAGGTCTTTCAGGTCTTTCAGGTTCCCGCTCAGCCTGTGGTCTGGGGATGGGGGCCGGGGGGCGGTTCACCACTGCTGGAGTATAAGTGCTGACTATGTCCACCGTATCATAAATATCCTCCCGACAGATGTTGTACGGATCCTCCTCCTCCTCGACTTCATCAAAGTTGTTGCGTTCGTTGGGTTCATGGTCCTCCGTCCTGTGATGGTTGACTGGCTCCTCAGCAGCTTGAGGTTTAGCTGTTAAATCAGAAACTTTCAGCCGCATGTTTGGTGATTCAGGATGATCAATCGCAGGTTAATAGCTGGATGTACCTTCGAAAAACTTCCTGAGCATGGCCTCTTCAGGATTCTCATCAACGGCAGTCATCACCTCATCTGCAACAAACATTTAAGATCAGTTCCATCAGTAGCCGTCTGAAGGGTTTATCTTTGGAATCAGAGCAGAGATCTAAACTTACATAAGTCTTCTGCACAATTTGGGTCAATGTCGAGCATCGACTCATAAATATCCTCAGAGCAAACAGATAACTTAATCATCATATCTTGAGAAGAATTCGTCATGGGCTCGTATATCTCTACGTCTTCATCCAAGGTTTCTATTATGTGAGACTGGAGCATGTCTGCTGTCTCCTGAGGGAGTCCAGAAAGAAGGTTTTACAAACGTATTCCAATCTATAATGTTAAATCTATAATGTTCCCTTCGGAGAACTTACAACGAATTCATCCATGAATTGTCTGAGATCTTGGAAGCCGCTCTTCTCTGCTAGTTTGTTTGGGTAGTCTCCATGTTTGTTCATCACGCTGTAGGCCTGCAGAGCCCCAGGGCAGCGAAGCAGAATACTGGTGAGCTTCTTCAAACCGTATTTAGCAGAAAAGTGGAGCAAAGTGGGAAGCTCTTCATCGCGTTGATCTGAAAAAAAACAAAAACAATCAAACACCTTTCTATCTTTGTTAATTTTAATCAATCAATCAAATGTTTTCTTAATACACTGGAAGAAATTGATATCTAGATAGGTAATTTTTTTCTTAGGATAAGTGCATTTCTTCTTGAATTGAGGAGGTAAACGAGAAATGTTGCCAACTAAACAAGACAATTTTCAATTGGATTGTCTTATTTCAAGTACAAGTTATCAAATTATCTTATTTTAAGAGTAAAAATGCTCATTCCATTGGCAAACTACCTCCTTTACCTACTTAAATTAAGGGTAAATACACTTAATTTACAAATTGTTTACTTATTTCTAGATCGTTTTTCCAGTGTAAATATTGATTCTTTTTCACTTTATGGGCTCTTTGGACTTCCATAGAACAGGCTGACATCAGTTCATTACTTTCTGTTGCTATAGTTACCTCGTAATTGAACAGGTTCATGTTATATTTTCATTATTTGTTGTCAAATATAATTTTATTAAAAGCAGTTTTTCTTTTTTTCTTTTATTGTTATTATTATTATTCTTTTTTTATTTATATTCTTTTTTATTTATTTATTTATTTTTAATCATAAAAGCAGTTTTTAAAGCTTGATTTCATTACCCTTTAAATTAAGCTCACCTCCCACAGGAGAAGATTGAAATAAAACCTAATTTTTGAAAGTAAGGTGTATCATTTTTCTCTTTTTGTTAGAATAGAAAATAATAGAATAGAATAGAATTGAATAGAAGAGAATAGAAGAGAATAGAAAATCCCTTTATTGTCCCACAATGGGGAATTTCTGGTGTTTACAGCAGCAAAAAATTATAGAAAAAATGGTCACACAAATGTAGACATTAGAAAAATGTATAAGAATAGCATAATAGAGAAGAGTTAAAAGATAAACAATAAAATACTGTTGTGTAAAGAGTTTTAACATTATTAAATAGAATAAAACTTATTAGGAAACTGATTGAATTCGGTAGGAATAAAAAGTCAGAGATGAGATTTTTAGGCCACGTCGCCCGGCCCTGTTAAATCCTCAAACGGCCATGTTAACGTCAAACAGAAAGCATGAGCAGAAGAGTTTGCATGTTCTAAAAGTGTCCAAACAAGAAACTTCACATCAGCTCTATTCTCAGAGTTTTATCAAAAACAGATCTGTCACAAAAATAGAGGTAATGGTGCTTCACTACATCAGAACAGTTTTTATGCCTAAATGATGAATGATGCACAAATTTATATCAAATTCTGCTCATAAAGGTTTAGAAAGATTAGAGAAAACAGCCTTGGACTTTCAAAGACCAGCAACATTTGAGAAACTCTGGTTACATAAAACAAGGCATGGATGTCACCAAGATGAAGATAAATCTTTTTTTGGGTCACACAGTTTTCAAAATGTTTTCTCTAATCTAAAATCTATCCAAAATGAATTTAAAATACTCTTGGTACTTTTAGTCATTTCAGTAAACGATGTAGGAATGAAGGTTTAGGCGCGTTCGATCCTGTCTGCTGCTACGGTGGGGCCGAGGAGGAAGTTCACAGTCGGCGCTCTATGATAGAAACCTAATACTGTTCCCGTCTATTAACTCAAAGTACAGTAACTGGGGGAGAGTCAAGGACGGCTCTGCACAGTGTGTGTTTTACAGTGTTATCTCAGTCAGTCATTTTGTTCTTATCGGAAGGACTAAGTTATATGAGCGAAACTCTTTATCTTCTTTTATAGTCTCCATCATTAAAAGTTCCATATCATGTATGCAATGCAATGCTTCCAGTAAAGAGTCCCCTGTTAAAGTTTTGAAAGGTGTAATCTGGAAAGCTTCTATCACTTCTGGTCCTGCTGCGTTATTGCAGATGAAACAGCAACCACTGCATTAACTCTTCAGTGAATTACTTTGAAAGTCTATATTTCAAGGCAACAGTGTTGTTGCACTGCAAAAACCATCTAGAAAAAAGAAAAAAATTAATAAAAAAAAGGGAATTAACCCTAAAGTTAAGAAGGAAAAAAAAATTGCCAAACAAAAGAACAATCCCAACCCTAAAAATAAAAAAATAAAAAAAAATCAACTGAAAAAAAAAAAAGCAATTGTTTTTTTCTTATTTTAAATGTAAATTGTCTTGTTCCATTGGCAAGATGTCTCACTTATCTCCTCAATTCAAGAAAAAATTCACTTAATTTAAGCAAAAATGACTCATAGATTTCCATTTTTTGCAGTGTGGAATCCAGGAAAAGACCTTATTACCTTTGTAACATTAAAAAAATATGGATATTTGATGGCGAAAATGTATGTCAATGTAACAAGAAACGCCAACTTGCCCGAATATATTAAGAAAAATAACAAATGCTTCTATAAGAGATTCATTAAATACACTCTGAGAGTGAAAGAAACACATTTTGTTTGGTTCAACATAACCTTAAAGGAATTCATGCTGGTACTGACACATTTTTCAGTTTAAAAACCTAAATAAAATTGTTAACTAGGCTTATTAACTTTTTAACTTTTCAATTAGCTTTTTACTTTCTTTTTCTTAACTTGTACAGTAGGTAATATGTCATTCAAGGGCTTATCTAATTGGTGAAATGCTAAAAAAAGATGTGCAGCCATGAAGCAGTATCTTTGCTCTACCGCTTGATATAGATCTTGTGCTTCTAGACCTCACTAAGGGGCAGGGGGGACTCTATTTGTAAGGGGTATGCAAGTGATCGAAAACGCTAGCTTGCCCTATGAAGGAGTAATGAAGTTTGAACAACGTCTTGTTCGAACAAACTTCTGCTTGATGGCAGAGCGGGAGATGTGTGTGCAAAAATGGGTACAGAAAAACAAGCTGATTGTGCAACCATTTTTTCTCACATTCATACTTCTCCTCTGTAGCACGAATATCTGCAAAAATAGGGAATCACCTAAAAAAAAAAAAAAACAACAACCAAGAAATCAGAAAGCTACACTCACACGCTGACATGTTTTCTTCTTCGATCTGTTTGACTCCAAAAAGCTGCAGCCCGGATGCTGGCATTTTGGATTTTAACGAGTCTGTCAGTAAAGTATCCACTGATTCAGTTGAATTGCAGGTCCAATCAAAGGCCTGGAAGGAAATCTTAGTTATAAACAAACCTAAAAGAGCAGAAAAATAAATAAAAGCAAAGAAAAGAATGGTCGGGTATGCTTTACCTGGCAGATAAAGTTCACAGGATCGGCAACCTCTGTAAGATAGCGACTAACTTCTCCCATGCTGGTGTAATATGTGACCGGGCTCAGGCTGACATCTGAGCCATCAGCGTGCAAAGTGAGCAAAGTCACTCCAGCAGGCATTTCTATGCAGAACAATCAAAAACAGATTAGTGATGAATTTTAAAAGCCTTGCACTGAGCAGTAAAAGCTCTTCCTGCAGAAACTCGCCTGGTGCAGGGACACTTATGGTGAATTCATTCTCCAAAGAGGCCAGAACCCTTTTAGAAGAATCTGAGTCTTCAGTTGAGAACTCTACTTCCAGATCAGAACCAGAACCAATTCTGCTTTTAAAAATGATATAAAGCGTCTCTTGATCCTGAAGAATATAAAAAAGGACAAATATTTAACATTTGAATTGAATATCTCAGCAAATGACTGCATGTCTGCCTCATCTTTATCCAACCTCTCCATGTTCATGTAAACTTTGCAGCTGCATGTTTGCTTCAACCTTACCCCACACCGGACTCTGTTGGGCTGAACACACAGACATGTGAGCTGTGTCTCTGAGCTGATGGTTTCACTTGTTGAATTCTCCCTGCTGTCTTGCTCTTCCTCCTTTAGGAACGTTTCAGTCTGCTCCTCCGGGGCCTCCTCTTCACTTTCAGCCACCGTGGGATTTTCAGAGCAGACAGGAGAAGCTTCTGTGACGTTCAACTCTGCTGCAGGAGTTTCGTTCTGCAATATGACTTCCGCTCGTCTGCCTTGAAGTAAAAAAACAAAATAAAAATGATCCTCGAATTGATTTCATCCGATTAACACGATACCTCGCTCTGAGCATCCTCCTCATTTTAAGATTTCTAATAACATAAAAGGTAGCACGTTAGATACTGTAGAGTGATAATTTTATTGTTGAAAAAACTAATTTTTTGAGCAGAAAATGCATAATAAATTGCATCAAATTGCCAAATTTAAAACAATTGATTGATTTTTTTGGAAATTTGTAAAAACAAATTTATCTATTTCTTTGTCAGGATGTTTAGTAAAGACTAGTTTGACCAAAAAAAATTTATATTTTCATACAATCGTTTTATATTTTAGCCTTTATAGGCTTAAAATCTCAGGGTCCTTCAATCAAATTCAGTTCTTCTTGTTCATTCAATAGAAAAAAATGCTGGTTTTAACCTTTTATGTATCTTATATGAAGAGGAAACCTTACATTTGGTTTTAATCCAACTTTTTTCCCAAATATTAACAAAATTAACCCTGTAATGCCAAATGTATCATATTTGATACATACGGTTTCTGAAATGTTTTGCGTCTGACACCTTTTGCATAATTTAATGGTAAAAAACAATCAGATATACCTGATAACAGCCAGTAGAAGACTACACAAAAAATAATTTTGACTTATCGTAATAAATTAATAGTAATAGTAATAAATTATTAATATTAAACATTTATTTTTGTTTTTTCTTTTACATATTTTGTTGAAAGGCCAAATAAGGACTTCAAACCAAAAAAAAAGTAATTTTCTGTTTTGTTTTATTCTTGGATCGGGCTTTAAAGGGTTAAGTTCAATTTTTTTTTACAAGAATATTCAAGTTTTGATGCCCAAAGCTTAAATTGTTAGGTGTGGTTAATGATTAACTGTCCACATACTGTCAGCGATGGATTCCAACACGGTAGAAACATAAATGGCGGGCTCATCATCAGCATGCAGTTTTCTCCAGCTTTGCCAGTCTGCAAAGCACCCTGCAGACAAGCTGTCCTCTGAAACGCCGCAGAGCAGCGCCACCACTTTGTGTGGAGGATAAAGGAGTCTCTGGAGCGCTTCATGCAGCTCCTGGTCACAGAGAATGTCCAGGAACAATCCTGTCAGGATCACCACTATGCACTTGAAGCACTGGAAATCCTTGAAGTTATATCCATGGAGCTGGTCGGCTGAGCTCACGGCGTAGAGCAGAACCGAGTTTTTCTGGAACTGTTTGGAGGAATTCAAGATCTGCTGCAAGTACGCAGCCCACTCCTGGGCCTCCTCGGTGTGGAGAATCAGCAGCTCAAACGCAGAGGAAGACTCAGATGCTGCTGCAAAACATGAATGTATAACAGTGTGATTGATATGCAGTGAAGCGAAAGGAAAAAATTGTGCATCAGTTGGTGAAACCTAAAGGGAAAAAAACATCGATGACCAGACAGACAGTGGGGACATTATTTCCTGCAGCAGGTTGTGGAAAAAACGGCCCACAGCATTCCAGCTGCTGAATGTCAAGGTGACTGTGGGTGAGGGTCGAATGTATGAACTGTTTGAAATGTCGACGTCGAGCCAACTGGGAGTTGAGCAAACACCGTAGTGTGTCAACACTGCTCTGAGTAATTCTGTTTGACTCATTACAGCCTCTAATCGGGCCAACTTCACCTCTGCTTACTGAAACCAAACAGGAGAGCTCACCTTCACCAGAGGCGGTGGGAGCTGGCATCTGTTAGCGAGAGAGTATTACTGAATGCACTCATGTCTGCGTGTCTGCATGTGTGTGTGAGGGAAAGAGTCTTAATTAACTGCCACATGCATTTAACCACACAGGATGCAGACACGTTTGGTTCCTCTATTTTCAGCTAAGATGTTAATTCTCAATGAACGGCTGACCAAAATCCAACTCAGCAAATTAAGTAAACATTTCACACAAAAAATGAGACCGAGCAAGTAAATTATTGTTCTTACTGAGGGAAAAAATGAGCAGGAAGTGTGAGGAGATGTTTAAAATCATATTAAAGCTGATGGAAAAGTCTTCCAGTATGTGTCAGACTCACCTGACTCGGTGCTGGATATGAGTCCTTCCATGATCTTTGCTCAAAATCATCCCCAAAACGCCACCATTTCCCCTGATAAGCTCCGCTTCAGGCCGTCTCAGCTTCACTGAGGCTCCTTCACTCGTCAGCTGACACTAAACCAGCGATCACCAGCTCTGGCCCTTTGCTCAGTCATATAAATAGCAACACTTAGTTTCCTGATTTTGGTTGCTCTGCCCCACTTCCTGAAACAGTTGAAGAAGTGAGAAAATGCACCCCTTGTCACATCAGAAAGTGCAACAAGTCTCTCGTTGCCATGGCTTTATACTCTTTCATGTTAGCTCAAGATCTTTATTTAGAAGAAAAAAGAAAGTTATCTGAGAATTAACATGTCGAATTTAGGAAACGGACCTGGAGATAAAACCTCCCGTTCTGCATTGAGGGTATATTTCAGAGCAAAGCTTTGTTCGCTTTTTTTTTTAAAGTATCATCCACAAACAAACATTAATTCACCTGCTGAGCTTCTTCCTATTTTTCACTTCCTTAACAAGTTGCATTGTGTCAGGGGACTTTCATACAATCCTGATCATAGTTCAAATATGCACAGATACTTATCATCAACAGCAATGCAGATCAGAGGGTTAATGTCAAACTAAGCAATAAAAGCAGCTTTAACCACCCAGACACCTTTCTGAGCCGCTGCAGCGTGGATCATGTGACAATTAAAAGCGTGAGAGCAGCTGTGAAGCGCTGCATGGAGAAAGCAACTTCATTCAGCGGAGACAGTTTAGTGGTAAACCAGAGAGAAATAAGTTATTATTGATTATTAATTAGCTTTACAGCTAATTGGGATTCAGAAATACAGTGTTAACAGAAAACAAAATGATTAATTGAACTTATTATGATGAAAAATGTGATGTTTTGTTCTGGGCATCATAGGAAAGTGGCGGTTGTCCACTAGAGAGTCATTAACGCCTATTTCAAGAAATGGAGCCTAGGCAGAAGTTCAACTGAAGATTTCGCCTCCGCCACGGGTTCATCTTAAAAGGACCCCAATCGATATCTCAGTCGGGAGGCGGCGATCGCGCTCTATCACCTGCAGCATCGTAGCTAAAGCTTCATCAGAGCGTCCTTCCTCCCGGACTCTTACTGCATTCCCTGTTTCATCTCAACCGGTCCGGCAGAAGGCCGCCATGTTGAGCCAAGTTCTGCCAGAGGTTTCTTCCCAAAGGGGAGTTTTTCCTCTCCACTGTCGCTTCATGATTGCTCATCATGGACAGGTTCTCTCAACCTGCGTTATCCAAGCTGGACTTCCATCTTCCAGGTCCCTGAGTAAAGCTCTACACTGCAAAAACCATCTAGAAATAAGTACAACATTTCTTAAAATAAGTGTATTTACCTTTAATTTTAGTAGGTTAATAAGACGATTTGCCAATGGAATCAGTATTTCTACTCCTAAAATAAGACAATTAGATAATATTCACTTGAAATAAGACAAAGCAATTGTTTTCTTCTTATTTTAAATGTAAATTGTCTTGTTCCATTGGCAAAGTGTCTCACTTATCTCTTCAAAACAAGACAAAATTCACTCAATTTTAGCAAATATAACTCATACAGTTTTCCATTTTTTGCAGTGTACTATCAGCTCACGCAGTCCACTGGATCTCTCCATAAAGCTCAAGCAGACCGTCTCACCAGCTCAGCAGTCTACAGACTGACCAACTTCATCTATCTCCACTCCAACACCAGTTTAGACTTAGACAGATTTATTTGTCATTTTGTTTACACTACTGTAAAACAAAAATAAGTTTTTTTTGGAACAGCTCTTTGGACAATTTAATCTTTTTTTAAAGTGCAGCTTTGAAAAATAGTAAAAATATATATATAAAAACAGTAATATAAACATATAACTGTACATTTAAAGTTCTAACATTTTTTTTTCATACCTTGGGGGAAACATCCCTATTATTTACTCCTTTTTATGCATATCAAAGCAGATTCTGCG